CCCCAAAACCCCAAAACCCCAAAACCCCAAAACCCCAAAACCCCTTAATGCCTAACGTTTATAGAATTTAAATTTAGGAAGTTTACGTTAAGGAAATATTTCATATGCTGAATAGTAAAGGTAAATAGAGCTCTTTCGATACCGCAGGTATAAATCCAGCACCATATCCCACCTGCACGCTTAGGCTTCACTAAGCTTTGACTGGATGTCCTCTAATTTGTTCTGTAGGACACCTGAAAGATTCTGTTGATGACATGAGAAGAATTCAGAATGGAAACATGGCTGTGAAGGAAGCAAGTTGAGCAAAGTAAATATTTTTGGATGGGAAAGAGTTTGGGTTAAACAAGAGGAGCTAGAAGGGGCCTATTGGGATTTTAAGGTGAATTTTGGAAAGAAAGAGGGTAAATTAGGGATTTTAAGCAGAAATTGATAGGAGGTTGACTTGGAGGAAACTTTTGAAAAAATTTATCAGGATTTAAAGTTGTTTATGTAAATTATAGAGTCTCGTCAAAGCAAACAACAGGTGTGAAATAAGTTGTGAAGGGATTCAGAGGAGATTACAGTTGCTAATTTTAATAATAGTCAAAATATCGGCTTTAATTTTGATTCTGTATGTTACAAGGAAAGTCACCTATGGAAAAATCGACCTGTTATGGCTTTTAATGAAGTCATTGATGACTCAGACATAATAAATGAATCTGAGGTTAGGTATTGAGAACCAAGTCCTAGGGAATATACTATTGAGCCAGAGATGCTTCATACACCTGAAAAGACAAGTACGAGAATAAATAATGCCTTTGTTAGTAATCCTCTAGAAAGCTGTCTGCCTAATCAATTGGTTGCTTCTCCGGAGAGTATCCATACACAGAGTACTAAAAGCATAACTTGGAATAATAAAAGCGATTCTAATGATATATTTCTGTATGATCTACAAGAAAAAGGGATGCAAATTCGAGATGAAAGTCTAGTTGACTTAGTGAATTTTACTAGTAATTATTGGTTTATAATTTCTTTAGAATCATCGCCTGACACCAGCTGCAATATGGATGACATCGATCTCTCTGACAATCATCAAAGTTCAAGGGAAGCCTTCCAATGAGGGATCTTTAGACAAGGCCTTTCCAGTATTCGTGAACAAACAAATGAAAGCCATACTGCTACTTATGATATGACAAGGTTCACGAGACCTGCCAATACTCCCGTAGAATTAACCTCATTTAGTTCATCTCGCAACATGTTCTATAAGAAGAGTACTGAGAAGGGACTTGATAAGGAGAATAATCAGAAATGTATTAACAGAGTTCCTTTGGCTTCCACTATAAAACCAAGATCAACTCTGAGCCCAACATTTTCAAACGCCCAGTCTATAAAATTTAACTGAAAAATTAAGAAGAACTCATCCAGAAAGCCTTTCCAAAGCTTGATCTCTCAAAGAAGGAGCAGCAGGGAGAACCTGAATCAGCTCGACTCGAAGATAATTGAAGCTCAGAAACAACTCAACAGCGTTGGTAGGAATCATACCAACCTCAGGAAATAAATCAACCTTTGTAAGAACCAAGAGGGAAAGTTCTTTAGTAAAGTAAGTCTCTATCTTTATATTCGAATTCCCCAGGTTCTCATAAGCATAATAGGATTTTTCAGAAGCAGACTTCAAAGCCCGCTTCCAAGTGTCAGTCTCGGATTAAGAAGATGCCTGGTCACGGGACTTTTACTCTATACCAAAATTCAGCGAATCCTTTGAAGCTGACTAGGAAATCTAAGGTTAAGGGCGACCTTGATAAGAGCTGTAGAGTCATGAGTAATACTGGACGTCTACTTTTGAACAATGGGAATAAGCCAGTCACAAAAAGTCAGGCATTGTGGATGCTTACAAATGAGAAAGCTCCAAATATGGCGATTAAAAACACTGGTAAATATTTTAGGATCCTGAAGAAGGAACCTAAAGGCATTGAAGAAGCAAGAGAGTTTTCGCAGATTAGCATAAAAATAATTAATTAAATTTGCAATTTTCGGGAATTTAAAGGGGTTTTGGGGTTTTGGGGTTTTGGGGTTTTGGGG